ACTGGGACGCTGGACCTGGCTTCCAGAAGGTGCCGCCTCCCACCAAATGATTGGGCCCCCTCCACGAAGGGCGTCTACTGTGGGATGCTCGTATCACCAGCACCAGTAGCCCCGGGTGGAGGTTAGGAAAAGAGGAAAAAAGGAAAAGAAAAAGAAAAAGAAAAAGAAAAAGAAAAGGGAAAAGAAAAGCAGTGGTCGTGCTCAGGTCAGGTTTTCCCTCCTGGATGTGGGTTGCCCAGGACCCTTTTTTGTTTTCGGTTACGGGGCCCAGGACTCTTTTTTGTTTTTTTTGTCTTTTTTACGTCAGGAAAACAATCGCAGACAACTTAAGACTGCCAGTACTTGCTGAAGTTGTGCCCATTAACAAGCCACGATTTTCGGAACGAGGGGGTAGGGTGTTTTCAGAACGCCCTACCCGAAATTTCACGAAATTCTGGCTGCAGTTTCGATTTCAATTTCGTACAAAAAATAAAAAATGTCCTTTTTGACAAAATCGCTGTTCACAGGCATGATGGAGGATTACACCCCACCAGTATTACCTCTACCACTACGAGGCTGCGGGGGCCTCACCACAACTTTCGGAGGCCCGCACAGCAACTTATGCCGTTGATGAAAAATCTCAACGGACGCCGACCCCCCGAAAGTCGCGGTGCATTAATGTTAATGCCCCGCAGCCACTTGGTGTACGGGTGGTTTAAACCACAAGTACTTGGCCCAGCTATCGGCCACAATTTTTTTGTTTTAGAGTAGAAACGTTTCTAGTAGGTCGAATTTGGGCGCTGCTGAAGTGGCCCGTACACTTCTCAAAATCCTGGATTGTTAACGGGAACGAGAGTTGCCCCTGAGCTTCTTCTTTCATCAGATCCATAGAAAACTGAAAGGAAATGTTTCTTGTATTTTTTAATTCACATTCTTCTTTTTTCGGAGGGGAATGTTTCTCTGGCTAAACACACTTTTGCTTTTCGTTTTGCCCTTTTTTCACACACACACACAAAAAAAAAAAAAAAAAAAAAAAAAAAAAAAAAACATCAGCTGAGGCAGCTCCCCATCAGTTGAGTGGTAAGAGCCCTAGCCTGATCGAGGCTCCGCCAGTTGTCACCCACTTCTACAGCTTTAGGAGTACTTATGGTATCGCCGAACCCCAAAGTTCTCTCCTCTTTGGGTGGGGGGGTGGGGGGGGGG